TTTCATCATGGCCCTGGTCCACCGGCCAGGTGGTTATGTGAGGTGGTCATTCCCTCCTTTGACTAACGACACAGTCAGGTGGTTTTGCCCGCTTGTTTCCAGGGGACTCGTGGATTGGAATAAAACGTGTTTTTCGAGTAATTTTGTGATCAGATATCTGAATTGAATCTGAAGCTTTCGTTTCAATACCAAGTCATAAAGTCGTATAGCTGTGTTTTGTTTTCATCCTGGCCCTGGTCCACCGGCCAGGCAGTTATGTAAGGTGGTTATGCCCGCCTTTGACTAATGACTCAGTCAAGTGGTTTTGCCCGCCTGTTACTGGGGGTCATGGATTGGACTAAAACATGTTTTTTGAGCAATTTTGTGATCGGATATCTGAATAATATTGTATAGTGAAGCTTTCGTTTTGATACCAAGTTATAAAATCTTATAGTGTGTTTTGTTTTCATCATGGCCCTGGTCCTCCGGCCAGGCAGTTATGTAAGGTGGTTATGCCCGCCTTTGACTAACGACTCAGTCAGGTGGTTTTGCCCGCCTGTTACTGGGGGTCATGGATTGGATAGACTGCAAAACAGTCGGTTTTTTTCTCAAAATCAGTAAAGAAATCGGTAAAGCGTGGCGTAAGAGTCTTACGCGCGCGAAGCGCGCGAGCCTCACACGCCCGTGGGGCGTGTGAGGCGAGAGAAAAAAAACCGACTGTCCGTTTTCCATACAATGAGTTCGTCCCGACCAGGGGGTTCAAAAATGTCGTCGAGCTGTCAAAAATCTGTTCGCAACTCCGCCCTCTTTGTGAATTTGATAGACTCGCGTGTTATTATTTTTAGCGTTGCTTCTCTATGAAATGTAGTGTACAATATATAGTGAAATGTAGTATATATAGTGGAGGATCAAAAATGAGTGAAAGTGGCAGTACGACAACAAAGCCTGTGCCTGGTCTCGGAGAGGGAGAAAGCCGAAAGAGCCGAGGGCTTTGGACAAATTGTAGAATGTGCGGCTGTTGTTTCAAAACACAGTTCGGCAATTTTACGAATGGATGGATAAGCTCGGAAAATGCGTTTGTTGCGCCTACCAGAAAAGGGGAAACGTTACCAAAGTGGGCCGACCTACTGAAAAACGAACTTTTCGTTGTCCTCGAGGAAGGAGAATCTTTCTCCACAAAAGCAGTTTGCTCTCCGTGCGGAACAACGGTTAGAAATTGCCCCGGGAAACTGCACGGCGATGCTTTCGCAAATTAGAGAAGAACTGAACACGCCAACTGACAATGAACAATTATTGCGATTGAAAAGAATGAGTAAATCCCCTCATTCCAAGCCACGTCTTGGTGATTTAGCTCTGTAAATTACTATCTGTGAGAATTTAAAATCCTGCCAAAAACGCTAACGAGCTGGGCCCAGCGTGACAAAACATTGCAGGAAAAAGTCACATTCACGGACACTCACTCTCAGTATGAAATATATTTAATAAGCGGCCAAAATTCACATTTGCTCAGTCAAAACGTTTTCCTCCAAAGTATAATCTACTCGACAGAGAAAACAATTCATTGGAACAAGCGGAATGTTTGATGGGGTAAAAGTCGTGTGTTTCCTACCGATCCCGCTTTTTTAGCCAGGCGAGATAACAATGACGGTCGGCCGTTGCCCCGGGGGGGGGGGTACTCCCATACATTACCTATACGGGTATGTGCCGCCCAAAGGGGTCGTGATTTTGAAGCTCCTGATTTAGAACGGGGTACCCATTTCAGACGCGTTTTCTAGAAAGGGGTATAATATTTCGAATGCACAAAAGCTCCACTTTTGTAAGCAGCCATTTGAAATTATTCAAGGACAGATTGCTTTTAAAAATACGGTTCAATGTGTTAACAAGCAAACTGTTGTACTCTTCAGTTGCACCCTAGAACCGAGTATAAAAAATTGGCCCATTTCTAGAACGGGGTAGCAGTTTTAGGGCGAATTCTAGAACGGGGTATAAAAAATTGGCCCATTTCTAGAACGGGGTATCAATTTTAGGGGAATTTTTCTTTAGAACGGGGTGCTAATTTGGAGTCCCGGGCGGCACATACCCACCCAAAAAATACCCAAGTGCCCCCCCCGGGGCCGTTGCACGGAACTTGAAGAACTCTTTGCATGAACAAACATCCGATAAATAAGGCTTTTGTCAAATCCTGTTGGTAGAACACAGAAAACATCCTTTTCCCTGAGTAGCAACTCCAAAGCTTCCCTCTGCTCCGATTTTAAAACAAATCCCAATTCCTGCGAGCAAATCCAGGCGATCAACATCTGTCATTTTACAGCGAAAGCTTTAGCAATTCATCACGGTATGGAACAACTTAACGTGAATGACATGTTGAAAACATTACTTGACAGCTTGGTGACAGCTTGCATCGAAATTTAGCCAATGGGAATTGCCCGTGGCTGGGAGAAGCGGGTAATTCGAACGAATATAACGTATGCAAAACGGACAGTCCGTATTTTTAGCGTCTCTCCCCAGTCTCGCTCTCTATTTCAGCCTCATTCCAGACCTTTTGTTTGACTGCTCGCGCGTACTTGAATACGTAAAAATACGGACTGTTTGCAGTCTATGGATTGGAATAAAACATGTTTTTTGAGTAATTTTGTGATCGGATATCTGAATTGTATACCAGTCAAGCTTTAGTTTCGATACCAAGTTATAAAGTCTAATAGTGTGTTTTGTTTTCATCATGGCCCTGGTCCTCTGGCCAGGCAGTTATGTAAGGTGGTTATGCCCGCCTTTGACTAACGACTCAGTCAGGTGGTTTTGCCCGCCTGTTACTAGGGGTCATGGATTGGAATAAAACATGTTTTTTGAGTAGTTTTGTGATCGGATATCTGAATTGTATACCAGTCAAGCTTTTGTTTCCATACCAAGTTATAAAGTCTAATAGTGTGTTTTGTTTTCAACATGGCTCTGGTCCACCGGCCAGGCAGTTATGCAAGGTGGTAATTTTCATGCCGCCTTTGACTAATGACTCAGTCAGGTGGTTTGCCCCGCCTATAGTGTTACTGGGGGTCATGGATTGGAATAACACATGTTTTAAGTTATTTTAATTTGTGATTTGATATCTGAATTGAATATCTGAAGCTGTGTTTTGTTTTGTAGAGGAGGAAAAACGACTTGATTGTTAAGACTCTAGAGAAAAAACCTTTTTACATCTTAAACCTAATATGTAATTATTTTGTGAATGAAATTTAATTTAATTAGTCTACCTTAACCATGTTGTTCAAGAGAGCATTATTGTGTTAGTTCAATTAGAAGAAACTCCAAAACACTCGGTCCTATTTTCAACCCTCATGACCGATACAATAAATTAAGAACACTTTAATATCGACTAAAACAAGTCTTGTTTTTTTTTTTTTTCAATTTCATTTGTCACGCAGGTTGCAGCCACAAGAGGACAATATCTAGAAGAAGCAAAAAAGATGCACCGCCATCCATTTTTACTGTGGGAAAGGCATTAAACCATGACTGTAAAAATACTAATAATTGGAGAGGAAGACTTCCTGCTAACTATCTTTCCCGGGTACCACCTTGCAGCTCAAACCTTTAACCTCCTCGGGCTCTGCCCTAAGCACTGATTTGTGATAGAACAGTACACATCACTCCTAAGCAGTTAGACAGTACACACCATGGCTTGCACACTTGACCTTTCATTTTTACTTATTGTTAGAAGTCTAGCTGCTTATTCAGTGATTAAAAATGTGATTTCCTATATTTTTCAAATGTGTAAATTTTTTTGCCTAATACTATAAATTGATGTAATATTACTTTTCTATTAATGTTTTATTACCCCTATGGGAAGTGCAATTTTACACTTGACCAAGGTGTAAACCATTCACAGGTACACTGTTTGGTGTGTAAATGAACCTTCTGGTTGCGTGTCAAATTACACTATTGGACAATGTGTAATAATACACACAAAAAAAAGGCTGCCGGGGCTGGCAAAGCTACTACACTATCATTTGGTGTAATATTACTGTTCTATTAGTATTTTATTACACTTATAGGAACTGCAATTTTACACTTGACCAAAGTGTAAACCATTCACATTACACTGATTGGTGTGTAAACATAACCTCTAGTTGTGTGTTAAATTACACTATTATAAAATGTGTAATAATACACAGAAAAAAAAGGCTGCCGGGGCTGGCAAAGATTTTACACTTTAATTTTAAGTGTGCTCTACAAAGCCTTTGTTTAACATCAGATCAACTTCATTCATTTTTTTATGTGAACAACTAGCTTAAATGAATTTAACAGCAATTTTGAATGCTTAGCAGTGAATGTTACTGATGCTGCTACCCAATCATGAAAACTAAATTATGGGAACTACCAAGTCATGTGATCCTGTCATTCATGAAAAATCTTCAATGCAAAACTGTTTCAAACAAATCTTTTAGAAACACTCTTTATAATTATAGAAGGGAAATTTCCAATTCACTTCAATGAGAAATCCCAGCAACATTTCGGGAATCATCCTGGATCAGTATTTTCCTTTCACACATACCAACATAATTTCTTGCGTGCAAGCAAGAGGTTAAATGAATTAGCTTATAAAATCACACAGCTTTATTTACTTTAGCACTGACAGAGATTTAAAAGACGTTAATTCTTTTGCTTAATGAAACCGAAGTCATGCACTGTGTGTTTTTCTCTAGGAAGGTGGAGAGTCATAGAGAAGTTAGGCTTATAAATTCACAAAACTACAAAATTACGTGTTTCTTTCGGCCTTCCAAAACAAAGCCTTCAGGCTTCGGCATTGTCTAGTAATAGTCAGACATTCCGGAGCCGTTTTCTTCTCTCCTAAGTCAGTCATTTAACCGGTCAAACCTTAATAAGACTTTATAAGCTGAAGTCTGGCTGAGTACAGTTATAAGCCTTAATAATCAACAAAGTAAACAACTTTTCTTCATCATAAAGCCAGTTAAAGTCCTGGTAATTTAATCAAACTTGCACCTGTTTTCCAGCTGGAGTTTTGAATGTTTCTATCCACGGATGCTTGTCAACGTTTCCTGCATTTTTTCTATGTACAAACATGCTTGACGAATGGTTTCGAGTTTAGTAACTCGTTTGCATCCACGCAAAGATGGTATGATTTGCTTTAATTTCTTGTAAGCGGTTTGTTCTGCCTCCGTTCTGAGTTTGTCTTTGACCTGATTTCTTTTCCTCTTTCTGGTGGTGGACTTCGTAGCCTTGGTTTCTTGGCAGTCTGGTAAACCCGAAGGAGGATCTATGCATAAACCCGGATTTATGTTATGTCCCGACATAACGCCTTCGTTTCCTTCAAACAAAAAATCCTTTGTCTCTTTGCAGACCAGAAGCAGTTCACAGTCTTCAGGAAATACCCTATTGATTTCCATGAGTATTAAACGTTGTCTCTGGTAATAAAAGAAAAAAATCCAAGCCAAATTAAGCTATGTTTAAAAAAAGCTAAGTTCACTTGTAGCACGTACCATTTTCGTTCGACTTGTTCGGAGTATATCAGCAGTTTTAAGATAAAGAAAGTCATGTAGCCTCAATGGTCACTTAAAGTATAGTTACCTTAACAGGGATCTGAGATAAAGTGTCTTAGAGGTACTTGAAATTCGTCAGTTTCCCAAAATTTTTCGTAAAAATCAACTTTCAGCGAGCAGTTGACCGTCGACTAAAGAAGCCCCTAATACCACGTGTTCAGCGCAGTTTGATTGACGTGTTGTTGGTCATAACCCCATGGATATTTTAGTAACCCGAAGGGTTTGAGGCGGGAGTTTGAAAGGCAGCCAAAAAATACACGTATCTATCGATTTTTATACCACGTTTTTCGTTTTTGTTAGTTATGGTATTCCAGTCAATGGAAAGTAAACAAGATCTGGAGCCTGTTTCTATGCCTTGAACCATGACCACTCTTTAGGAATGGGGATAAATCCTATTTCGTTAGGTAGGTACCCTAGGCCGGGTTGATCGAAAGACGATTTCGGCAAACAAACGTTTAATAAGGGCCTGTTTACATGGAGGTGGGGGACCCTAGGTAGGTGTGGTAACCCGCCATCCCGGAGTGCACTTTCTCAAGATTAGGTACATACTGTATTAAATGGTCGCTGAGCACGTAAACAAGAGAAACGCTGGCAAACCACGTGTTTTGGCGGTTAATGCTTTTGTACACTCACTTGCTGCTCTTGCTGTAACCCTCAGTGGCTGGCTATTGTTACCTTTAGTAATGATGCAAAGCCACCGCCAAAGTGAATTTTGCCCTAATTTCATGTATCGCGAAGTCGATCGCGGCTAAGCGGGTTACCCCACCTTCAAACGTTCATATGGCAAAATTTGACCCCGGCTGAGAGGGTTACCCGGTCTGGCAGACCACCCATAATGTAAATGTTATTAAATTAAAATGAGAGATTATATGGACAGGTGGGTTACCGCACCTACGCGGGTTACCATCACCTACCTGGGATCCCGTGAGAAATCAGATGCCCTGTTTGTAATTAACACAGGCTTCGAACAAGTTATGAAGTTAACAATATTTACAGATTTTGAGAGGACTCAGTTAAGTTGACACGTCTTTGAATCTCTATTTTATTATAGTCTTCAATCGGCGTCCCAGTTAATAGTCTGCTACAAAGCCGTTTTCAGTATCGTCACGCAACGCTCCTGCCCACTAGTGGTTAGTGGAGAGGAGCGTTGCGTGAAAACACTAAAAACGGCTTTAGCAGACTAGCCAGTTAAGGCCCCATAGTAGCTTTGAACTTCTTATAAAACGATCACCTGCGTGGGGGACCGTGACCTCTGTTGGTGTTGTTGGTTTATATAGTTTCGTTCCTTTGACCCATCTAAATCCGGATTTTTGAATCAAAATTCGATTTTAGGTTTCATTAAGGACTAAATCAATCTTAGCTTGAAATCTGTACTATCCTCGTCCGCAATGAGATTGTTCAGATCTGTATCTCAATCTGGTTTCAGATTTTTGTTCCATTCAACGAAACTACTTTTCCATTGCAAGAATGTGTTCCTGCATGACAGGTGATCGATAAAAAACATGGTAGGTCGAGGTCAGTGCAGGCAATTTGGTTATGTAGACATATTAAATTCTGTAAGCAGAATACTGCAATGCTGATCGTACTACGTGAAAATTAACTCTGCAAGACATCAACACGACACCGAAAGAACTCAAAACAGAGCGGGATTGTAGCCATAGTCAGCTGTTTCGCCCTCTTTGGGGCTCGTCAGTATGGCGTAACAACCAGAGATCAGGCTCTGATGAAAAAATATCCGCGCACTCTGATTTGCAGTCCCTTGTGGTTAATGTTTGTAATTTGGTTATCTAACCATCCGAGAAATTTTTGCCAGTCATGTGACCGTACGTAACATGCATCACAGCGCAATCAATGCGAAATCTCACACTTTTCTAGCCAGTGTGGGACATCCACTTTGTGGCCAATTAACAGCTGTCAAACTGGGTATCGCGGGCTCAGGACTCGACCCATCGAATTTACGTATTTTTTTAAACATTTAGTATAGAAAATTCCAAAACTCAGAACAAAAACTAAGAATATCTCGCCCAATCACTCGGTCTTCATGAGCTCTGTAAAAAGTGACACGTTAATACGTAACAGAAAAGTTACGAATCCCCAAGAGAGAATAAATTGTAAATTGCTGGTAGGTCCAGTCCCTCATGCCTATTCAGAGTTTTTTTTTTGTTTAACAGCGGTGGATTCCTTGATTCGGTGCTTGATGGTATTATTTTCGTCAGATACTGTACGTTTATATTGTGTGGGTTGATGAACACTGACGAAGTCCGAGTGATTCAGACAAAACATTTGTTTCGTTTCCTTAATGTTTTCCAGGAGTCTTGGAATTTTCTATATTAAATGTCTTCGCAGGAGAAAAACCTTTTTAGCAACGTGTATTTTTGAAGTAATCCGCTTACAAGCTACTTGTTTTCAACTGATCGCAGGCTCAACTCCAAGTAGATTTCTTTGCCAGTGGTTACAAGCTCAAGTTTTATTGTTGGAGGTAATTATACATTTATTAACGGGAGCTTCGCCTTGGCTAAATCTCTATCTCTATATATTAGCCCCTTCGCTGTCTTATACGACCAAGGTTGCAGTTTATTTATTATACTCATGTTGCACCTTTGACGGTCTTCTCGTCTTGAATGTATTAGAGCGATTTTCGTAAGACCTTGAACTGAAAACGCGCGAACAAAACAGGAACAACAAACAACGGAAATAGAGCAATTTGATCGGTTTTGTCGAACGGATACAAACGCGGGTGGCTTTTGGTCCGAACGCTCGGGTGAAAAAACTTCATACCCCGAGAGCTTTCTAGAAATCAACCGATACCTCGCTTTGACGTCATACTGTTACACGATTGGCCAATCGAACAATGCCTTCTCTATAGCAGGGTCTTCTTTGGCGGGAAAACGAAGAGGCCTTGTTTTGATCTTTTTAACCACTGGCTGATAAAACAAATAACGGACACCTACCGAAACATTTTTCAAGGTAGATACGAAAATCGCTCTATCCTTAACATAAATGTTGCGTTATTATTGCACCAGTCGATTAATGTCACAGGGCTCGGTCTTTGTTCTATGAAATTCTCATTCATGGCTGTACCAGTGTAAAAAACAACTGTCGGTCTGCTGGGTATACAAGGAAGAAGTTTGTTTAGCCTGCTCCTGTTTATACTTTCTGTATCATTAAATGATGATGATTAAATGTTTCGTGACATGAGTTGAAGTACCAACTCCATTCTTTAAAAAAAGAAAGAAACGAAGTCACGTGATTTGAGGTGTGTTCACGAGAAATCAGACGTATCGCAATCAGCAGCTCCGATCTTGTGTTCGTTCCGGATAACAAAGGACAGAGTTGTTCAGAGCAGTAAACAGCATTCCCCTATCCTACTACTTCTCTTGCTTTGATGTTAGTTGTCTTGGTTGTGATGCGGTAACTTGGGGTCTTTGAAGGTCGGATAGCAGTTGGCTTCTAATTGGCCATTTCTGTAACAAATACACAGAAAGTTGTTTTATATGGGCTTGAACGGTAGAACCAGCATGTTCAGCATAAGGAAAGGCTTTCGTGTACGATCTCGGCAAACCGCCCAGTATGGCATAATCAACACCACGGGAAACTACTGCTTTGTAGCTTTGATTTGAATGGTCACAAACCAGGATTCCAAGGCGAAATTAAAAGTTAAAACCTTCTTGTACAGGATAATGACAGAATTTTGAAGCTAGAAAGTACTCAGTGTGCTCAGTACATTTGAATGATCACTCAGTAAGATTGGTTTTAATACTATAAAAGTGAAACTCCAAAGTCAGAACAGCCGTTTTCAGTGTAATTAATAGTATCACAGGACAGTAACACAAAGTCGGGCTTACAGTGAATTTGAATGGTATCATATCACAGTAGGATTTCATCTACAGAGTAAAAAGTTAGAACCACAGGAAAGTACAGCTTAATTGCACAGTTTTCCGAAATGTTTCGAATAGCTTGTCAGAAAATATGGGGACATGAACTGAACCGCCGTCAAGCAGTTTAAAAGACAGAAAGTAAACTTGCTAAGAGTATCAAAAAAGCAGAACCACTACTTTTCCAAAGAGCAAATCTGTGGCGTTTAAGAGCTGAATTGCTGAAATGCCTTCACAAATGCGCTGAGCCGAGAATACTAGAATGCCGTGCTTTTTATGGACATATGGGACGCTGTTTTACTTCTTTGTCTTAAATGTGCAAAAACACTTGTTTTTTTCATAAGTAGATTATTCGTCCACTCTGGCTGTAAAAGAATATCTTGCAGTTTCTATCTTTCTTTTTGTTGAGTAGAAACCTGAGTTTGCTGCAACAGTAGTTTCGTAAAAGTAACTCGCGTATATGTTAAGTGTGACTAATAGGGTCATGCATGGAAAATTAACCGGTCAACTTATACGTGACCAGTCCAAAACAAGAAACATTCCTTCAAATCTCTGTTCCATTTCCGTGATTGAAAGAGTTATTTGTTTGACCAATTCTTTTAAAAGCTTTGTCAGAGATAGTTGTGACTTTAACGAAACAGCTAGTTGCCTTGCACCCCTACCAAGTAACAAAAAATAATCTCTTAGTTTGGCCTGGCTTGTTTGATCATTGTCCGAAAACAGGGCCAAAAACACGACACCGCACGGTTATTTACTTAACAGTTATCGATCTTCAAACGAGCGAACAATTTGAGCGCAGAAAATAAACTATTTTGTTTTCGATCGCTTTCCCAAATGTCCTCAACGAACTCTGTTATCACATTTTTCAAATCAACTTGTTTTGAATAACTTCAAACAATGGAAACTCTTTAGTTCAATAAACTATGTTGC